GTGAAAAATAAGAACCAAGAGAGACTATGTAAAGGTGTAAATTTCCAATGATGAATGTCATTATATTGTATACCTAAAATGTACCAATGATTAGAATCACCCTTGTCTTTAGTCACTGGAATTCTGTCTTCTGCTTGATCCAGTCTATTGGTGCAATTTTCCACTGGGTCCTTTTTTTTTTTTTGGTAATGGGGATTGAACTTGGGGCCTTGCACTTGTGCAGCAGGTGGCGAAACCACTGAGCTAAATCCCCAGCCCCCCTTTTTTTTCTCCATTAAGTTTATTGGTACATTTTAGGTATAAAATACATTTATGTACATCATTGGGATCTTGTACCATTACATGAGTATCTTGGTTCTTATTTTTAAATTTATTGGCTTTTTTTTTTTTTGTACCGGAGATCGAACTCGGGTCCTTGCACTTGCAGGCCAGGCAGCGTCCACTAGGTTTTTGATTTGACTTATTGAGCTGATTTCCAAGGTTTCTGTTTGGTTCTTTTTCAGAATCTCTATCTCTGTTAAATTGTTCCTTCATAGCCTGTATTGTCTTCTTGAATTAATTCAGATTTTTATTCTCTTTTATTTGTATTGTCTTTGAAGTCATTGATATTTTAAAAATCAATGTTTTGAATTTTTTTTTTTTGGCACTGGGAATTGAACTCGGGTCCTTGCACTTACAAGGCAGGCAGTGGAACCACTGAGCTAAATCCCTGGCCAATCTTTTGAATTCTTATGTCTGGCATTTCATCCATTTCAAGATCCTTGCATTCAGTTACTGATGAGTTATGGGTGTTTGCGGGAATCACGTTGCCTGTTTTTTTGTATGTCTTGTATTTCTATGTTGTGATTTGTGTTTCTCTTGGGGTGGATATCTCTTCCACTTTTATGTGACGGTCTTCTTAGTGAACAACTTTCTTTTGAGGCCTTGATCTCCAGTACCACTCAGAGTGGAGAAAACAAGCTGTAGTGACAGTGATGACACAAAGACAAACCAGATATTAAAATACAATAAAAACCAGTTGCAAGCAACTATATCACCATTAGTAATAGAAAAGAAAGAGCAATAATAATATGGCATATGGGGCCAGGGATTTAGCTCAGTGGTTTCACCGCCTTCTGCACAAGCACAAGGACCCGAGTTTGATCCCCAGTACCAAAAAAAAAAAAAAAATT